AGGAGCCAGACAGCCCTCAGAGGCTCAGGAAGCAGAAGATCCTCCCTCTTTTTACACATGCAGGAAAGTGAGAATAAAAGCATTGCCTGGAGGCATGTCAGCAAGGGGATTAAGATTTACTGTCCGATTCTTGCTTGGTTTATACAATGCAGCCGTTGCCACTACCCATAAGCAAACACTTGCTCAGCATTCAAGGCAGGGAGGGCTGGGATCCCAGCTCCATCACTCCATTTCTCTTCTCAAATTCAAGAAAGAAGACTTTTCTGCCCTTCAGATCCTTCCCTGCTACACTTGCTTTTGTTCACACAGTGTTTTAAGAGCACACTAATCTTACAGTCCTGGGTTTGAAACACCAGCCTCCACTCTTCCAGTAAGGAATACAATTCAAAGCAAGGCCAGCCTGACCACTGTGAGACAGAGGCTGTCACATCAGCTCCTGGTCAAACCTAGGACTTGTGCATTAAGAGTTTGACCGCGATGGGCTCCTACAGACCTCCTTCAGCAAAGCACCAAAGAAACAACAAATGTGTGTGTCCCCCCACCAGTGACTTCTAAGATACCATTCAGGTACAAATGATACTGGACCTTTTTTTTGCTTCTCACATATTCCTGCAGGAGAGATGTGAGCCCAGCTCTCCAAACCTGGAAGGAGAATACACTGAGTTGGGAGATGTGATGAACTCGTGTCAATAAGCTCTATGCAGAGGCCAGGGATCAAGAGGAGTGACCTAATCATCAGGAACAGCCCTGGCCACAGTGCTAATCGTGTGTAAAGATTCGCTTTCAAAGCCACATAGAAGCTTAAGCCCATTTATCTTTCCAAGGGATTTAAAGGCCTATCAGCTTTGGGATGTGAGAGTGACAGGAGCGAGAATTCAAACGCACCAGCTGTAACTTCCAGTGCTGTTAACATGGATAAACAAGCCCATGCAGCAGCATCTTGTCAGGCAAGGCTCACTCCCTGACCCTCTCTGCCATTTCCTGGCTTCCTTGAGCCTTCTCCTTACAAACAAGCAAACAAACAAACAAACCCCTCAATTTCTCTAACATGTGATTTCCTCCCAATGCCATAATGCTGGATTACTCCTAAAGCAGAGCATCACTCTGTGATACAGGCTGCTTCCTGAGCTAGGAGCAAGAGCTCTGCTGGAATACCTCCTCCTGTGTTGTCTGAAACACTATACAGGATGAGCAGAATCTGGGAAGACAGGAAAAATGGAATTACAGGCTTGTGAAATGGACACTGACAAACCCCTGAAGTCTCCAGCTCCCTCCGCTGCATCTGTGTTTAATCCAGTCATCAGACAGTCTCTGTTTAACCAAATATTTGACTTCAGAATTGGGCCTGAATTGTTATTGGCAAAGCTTCCAAGCTCCACAGGTCCCTCTGACAAGCTGTTCCTTTGTGGAAGCCTTGCGAGGAGATGAATGCAGCCTTTGAGGAAAGTGCTGGATCCCTTCTCAGGCTTCCCGAGTGGGTTTGTGGAGTCCTGTCAGGTGTCCAGAGTTCCTGAAAGCTTCACGTATTGACTGTTAGGAGCTACAGGGCTGATGTTTGTGTGCATTGCTGGGATGTTCCCAGAGGAGTTTTGGCTTCGCAGCATGTCACAGCAACAGAGTTATCAAAGAAAGCCCCAAAAATAACTTAGTCTACAGGACAACTAAAAGCCTAACCCAGACAAAAAATAAATAAGACAGAGCCACACATGAAGCCATGCAGCCAGAGCTGTAACGCGTACTCCATTCTAATGGGACATACCTGGAAGCGTGGTTTGCAAACCGGTACACACCCTTAGTCCCTTCCATACCCACAGGGGGGACATAAAGCCCCTCAAACATACAGTTCCTCATGGCATCAATGGCAGCTCTGTGCCACAGTGCCTGAAGGACCTGGTTTAGGTGCAGAGCCCATGGTGGCTATCTCAGAACATGGTGCTGTTTGATACCCAGTCGTGTAAAAACAGTCCATAGGCACTGAAAGAGGAACGTGGCCATCCCCTTTCCCATGCAGGATTCAAGTGGCAATATTCACTGGCAGCATATGGAAGCCAGTCCTCCAGGGCTGGAGTTCCCTGAGCTTGCCTCCTGCACTGTAGGCAGCTCCAGTGAAGCAGAGCCTTGGCTTCCTGGACTACAGGCAGCTGCAGGCAGGAGGAGTCACCTTCCAGATTTGTTTCCAAAGGAAGATTAGAAATTAAAGTCCAATTTGTTAAACCTTTAGGTAAGCAACTGTTTCTGCATAAACATATGCTGGTTTGTGGGCTGTGTTACATGGCTAGCTGCAAATCTGACTGACTTTAAAATCACAGTGTACCCAACTGAACCAGAAAGCAAACAGAGGCACGTTTTAAGGTGGCATGGATTAAAAGAACCTGGCTCATGATTTTTCAATAGAGATTGGAAACAGTGATTACCCTAAACTAACACATAAAAATCGTGCTTGGAAGGTAAGAGCACAAACGCTACATCAGACAGCTTCACTTCCAAGTGAGAAAGAGCACGTAGCTGCCTTAGCTAAAATTATTCTTCAAGTGAAATAGAGTCAAAGACTTTTAACACTTTCTGAAAGATGGGGTCAATATCTGGAATATATTACAGAAAGAGCTCAAATTACCACCTCCCCCTGTCATTCGTTATGCTACAGTTAGTGGAAAAATCCAAGGTCTCTTTTAGGTCTGTTAGCTAGACAAGTGTTCAGCATCGCTAACAAATCCTTGCAGCACTCCGTGCTTAGTATCAGCAGAAAGTCCTCGTCCCTTCCATCCCTCAACACATACCTACTTAGTAAGGACAGAAGGAACTGCCTACATTGCTTTTTTCCTGCCTGCTGGAAACACTCAAGCCCACGAGCAGATGCAAATGTTCAGTGCATCTGTGCTCCTTCTCTCCTGAGGTCAGCATTAAGCACCAGAAGAGCTGTAAGTGATCAGTCCTGGCTGATTCAAGCTCTGGAGGAGGTGCAGACAATGACATTAACAGTGGCAGGTTAAATCCAGACAGCTTTCCATCCAAGGATCTCTTGCAGCATAACAAAAGCCTACCAAGAGCCCGAGGTCCCACCAAAGGCTGGGATGGATGTTCCATCCATACAAGCAGGGATTATTCTCTGCCCTATTCAGTGCTATTTCCCCACTCCCCAGGCTCTGGGGTACCCAGTGGGAAGGGCTCATCCCTTCTCAGTCATTCCTGCTGGAGCCACTCCAATTTGTCTAAAGGCACTTAAATATTCATTGCGAGAGCAGGGCTCTGTCTGGCCGGGCGCACAGGCTGCTCTCCAGGGAGAGGGGACACCTGCCTTCTCCACTCCCTGCTCCATCAATCCATTAATTATTTAAAATAACAGGAAAGAGCAAGAAAAACTCTCCCCACCAGACATGCTCCCAGCCTGCCATTTACGGTACTCTCTGGGGTCTTGTGGAGACCAGGGAATGCATCTCCCCTCCGGCAGAATCAAGGATGAAACCTAGCTTTCCCCTTCCCTCGGGGAGGATGCTCTACCCGCTGAGCTATTGTGCAAAAAGACGGGCTTCGCCTTTATCCAGACAGAGCTTATGTTTGCTTTTCCTATCGGGTGCGGGTGTCTTTTTTTAACTCAATTTGAATAACAGGAAAACAAAACATCAGATATAAAGCTCTGAAACCAGTAGCTACCCACAGACCCACACACAATCTGTGCAGGCTCAAGAGCTTAGGGTCTACCTCCCCATTTCACAGCCACGACCCTGCAGTGGGTCAGCTGCATCACTACAGTGCTTGGCTAGGGAGATCCTCAATAGAGGGCTTGAATGAGGTGGAACCCCCCAGCTCAGCCATGCTGCTCCCTGCCCTCAGAGCTCTGGTGCAGCAGTGCCCACAGAGAGATGTTTCTATCACATCAAAGCCGCACAGCCCCGAATCGGGGTGCCCGGGACAGGGGTGTCCCCAAAACTGACCTGAGCGCGGGGAACAGCCCCATCTGCACCCTGGGGTTCATGGCTCGCTGCAGCAAACGGTGGCAGATGAACAGCGCTGGCACCCTCATGTGGCCGCCGGGCCCGGAGTGTGCTCGCACTCAAACACCGAGCATGGAGGGTGCGAGACTCGGCCAGGGATCTGCTGAGGAGGAGAGAGGGGGCCATGACAAGGACAACGCCTCTAGGCCAGCACGGCGCAGGGAGGGAATACAGATCGGATGTCCCCTCTCCTACCCGGGGACCGGCAGCATCTGCTCCCATTTGGCTGCTGGAGAAACCAAAGTCCTGATGGAAGCTCATGGCTCCTGGTCCTCCCCATCCTGGCTTTGAGTGATGCGAGGAGTTAACCAATGTACAGGGGGGGGTTAGGGTTAAGCGGCTTGCTTAACAATGTTATTGCTTGTCCATACTCAACAAACATTTATCATGCTCATTATGCCGTGCTAGAACAGGATGGGAGGACAAGGATACTGATACGGGGAAGGAACAGTAACCTGGCTCCTGCTTTCTGGGCCCTGAAACGGGCTAAAACCAGCTTTGTGGTTTGGACAATGACCAAGTCACCAGGGAGCATGCACAACTATTAGAGTTAAAAAGTTTAAGCCGAGGAAGGCTCATTTACTTCATCTTGAGACCCTCACCCACGACCACCAAGAGTTACTGCGCAGGCGCAAAGGCCCTTTTAGCTCATTACACTATGAAGTGGGGATAGGACATGAATATGTATAGGTGCATTTTATAACCTAATGAATATGTATGATTTTAGAGAATGATTTAGGGGAGAGCCGAGGTTGTGGCCGCATGCCTTTGGAGGAGCGATCCCCCCTGCGCCTCAGTGCTGAATAAAGCATACCTGCTTTACAACTGTAACGAGTTGTGGGGCCTACCCGCCCACCGTGAGGAGCAGGTCCTTCCCTTCTCCTCACACCGCCCTCCAACGCGTTTGAGGGCCAAGGAATAGCGTTCACTGCTTCAACCCAAGATGTCGCCCAACGCCTCACCCCGATGCTGAGCGCAAGCACGCACAGGAGAGAAGATGGAAGGAGAACACTTGCGTGCCACACTCACCCTGGCAAACCAGATATGGGGAGAGGGCCCAGACCCACACCAGAGACCTTGCAGCGGCTGAACCGAAATGGCTGGGGCAGAAAACATGGCCTTTGCCTAGCTCCAGGGCTGATTTGCTGCCCGGACAGCCACTACCTGGCCCTTCCTGATAAGGCAGCAGCATCTCTCCAGCCTGAACATGGACGGCACTCACAGGACCAGCACCTGGGTTTGTGTTTTAGGGTTTTTTTTGGCTGTTTTGGACCTTTAATTTTCGTACTTTTTGCAACCTCGCTCATACCCCAGGAGAGGCAGGTACCAAACCAGGTTCTCCCCCCAACCTCAGCTCAGCTGCTGGTTCCTTCCTCCTCATGCTATCAAAATGGTAAAGAAAAGAAAAGACAAAACCAGACCCAGATGCTGAAACAGGAGAATTAACAAGAGAATTGAGCGTAGGGCGCTTTTAACCCTCTCCTGCACCCGCTGATGTGCCTGGGCTATGTGGTACCTGGGAGCATCTCATCCCCTTGAAGCACCCCGGGATGAACTTTGTTTTCAGGGCGAAGAAAGCAACAACCCAGCCCCGTATTTCCCACATAACGGAATTCCCTCTCCTTCTAAATCCGTCTGGAAAGAGAATTAAACCACCCGCAGCCTCCGAGCAGCAGCACTTCGGCGAGCCACGGGCGGCACCGTCGTGCAAGCCCCCTGCCCGAAATGGCGGTCGCTGCATTTCCCCCCTCAACTCCTCCCAAACCAGCCCGAAAACGCCGTGTTCGGGAGGAAAACACCGTGTTTGTGACGGAAAGACCGTGTTTGGGAGGAAAAGGCTGTGTTTTGGGGTTATTTCGCTTTAAATAACAGTTAAAAGGGCGCTGTGCCGTAGCGCTCGGCCCGCCCCGAGGCGGCGGGGCCGCTGCCATCAGCCCGCCCTGAGGCGGCGGGGCCGCGCTATGGGGGACGAGCTGGCGGCGGGGGACGATAGCCGTGAGTGGGGCCTCGGGGGCCGCGCCGGGAGCGGGGTTTGTGCGGGGGCAGAGGGCGGACCCAGCGCCGGCCTCCGTGGGGGCTGTGGGGCAGGGCCGAGGCGCTTTAAAAGCGGGTAAAACCCCATTGAGAAACAAAGCCCATTGCGGGAAAAGGGGTGCTTTAGCTTTAGAGCATCCTGTATCCCTAAGATGCTGCATGGAACGCCGGTAACCCTCGCTTCAACGTTCTGCCCCTCTTCATCGACCGGTGGCTGGCTGTCCTGGGTTGTCTTTCAGCCTCAGCAGGCAGTTCTTGCATGTTTCTTTGCACACCTTTCCTCTCCTTTGATACTTAAACCTCTTGCATAATGAACTGCCTGTGAGTTGGTGCACTGCACTGAGGGTAAATGGTTTAAATTGTTTTCCATGCTGTTTGGGATAACTGAATTCATATTCAGTGCTATGAGGTGTGAAATACCCTGGAATGTGAGCTGGGAAGAGAAGGAAAACTAAATACCTACTAAAACACTGCTGTTGGATGGGTGCATGGCATGATGAGGAGTGCACTTACACCTACAGGGCTGGCTTCACCAGTGTGGACACTAAGTGGGAAATTCAGACCATCAGAATGAGGAAAGAGTATTAAATCAAAGGGATGCTTGGCATCTCTTGGCAATGGTGATTGTAAAATGTAAGAACACATTTTGGTTACCTGGGGAGCAGGGATAGCATCACTGGCTTAACTGAAGCACAGGATTTACTCCACTGAACAGAGAGAAGCATTTGCAAGGATGTCATTTGTGTGTAGCCATTGGTGTTGATAATTAGCGGACAATCCACAGGCTTTTGCCATGTTCTCGTCTCAAGTGAAGGGTCCATGCAGTGTGGAAATGCAGTCCCATTAACATACCCGACCAGAGAGAACAAGTTCTCAATATACAGCACAGAAAATCCGGTTCCTGTAGAAATCAGTGTCCAAGTCCTACTGTTTTAACAGCAGGTCCAGCACTCTTGAATGATCACTATTAAGATTTGTGTTATTTGTGGTTTTTGTGAGCTAAAGGTTTTTGTTTGAAGGCAAGGAACAGAAATTTGAGGGTGAAGTTATACCTCTCTGAGTCTGTAATAGGGGTGCCTTTGTACTGTGCTCTCCAGAGAGAAATGGGGTAGTGCTATTTGAACAGCAAGCGTGTTTATCTCCTCAGTGTGGTGGGATGGGAACACTAGGATGCTTTGGTGCCTCCTGTATGGCATGTGGTTAATGTCTAGCCAATATGTTGATACAAGCTGCAGTTGCATTGAGCCCCTGCTACCCTCAAACTGCAGCCTGAGATATGCAGAAGAGAGCAAAGCCAGCTCTCCAGCGGGATGTGACTGGCTCAGGGTTTGACTCAAGCCCTTCTTGAATGGATTCCCCAATAGTGCAGAGACTGAGTCCAACAAAGACTGACACCAGCCTTGCCAAAATCCTCCTTGTCAGGCTGCGGCAGGCCCAGAGTCGCAGCCTTGCTCTTGTTTCTTGGCAGGAAGGTTTGTTCAATCAAGGAGAAGATTGCTGGGGCAAGGCCCAGCGTGGAGAGCTAACACTTAAATTGTGCCTAACTGCGCACGACAAATGCTGCCAGTCATGCTAAATTAGGTGCAGAACTGCCACGGTCTATTAAGAGATGCAACACTAATCACAGGCCAGGCTAGTGGTTTTGTGCTGCTTGGCTGGTGCAGGTTGCCTGAAGGGGAACAACAGGACCATGTGTAAAGGCCTCCTTGTAGAGCAGTGGGATGTAAGGGGAAGGATGGAGGAAAGGGTCTGTGTCTTTGCACCAGCTCTGGGCCTTGGTGCTTGCCCAGGGGACATGGCCTAATGGGTCAGAAGGTTTTTCAGCTGGAGCAGAGAAAGACACTGAATTAGAATTGAAGCTTGTAGGACTGGAAGAGCACAGGGTACTCAGGAGACAGTTAGAGAGGACAAATCCAGCAAATATGGCAATGTCTGTGGGGCTGGGATTCTTGCTGGAAGACTCTTTCTGCACTTGAAGGCCACTTGAGATAAAGGGGAGGTTTGTTGGGACATGCTTCCCTGTGCTCCTTGCCAGCACTGTTTTAATGCCCACTCTTCTGTCTCTGCTGCAGTGCTTCACTCAGAGAAGGAGTTCCATGATGCAGCGAAGCGTAATGACACGGCCAGGATGGAGGAGCTCATCAGGAGAGGGGTTGACATCAAAGCCAAAAACAACGTAAGTCCTTAGGTTTTCCACCTCTGAGCTGCAGGAAGTGGGGAAGGTGCATTTCAGAACTGCAGCTCCTTAACGGTGCTCTTCTCATTAGCCACTCAGTTGGTCAGAGCTGTAAAATACACCACCCAGTGCTGAATAGGGCCTGTGGCAACTGAGCAGTTTCACACAGCATTGTCATGCTGGCCAGACTGGAAAGTTGCAAGTGCTGAGGGAGGGTAATAATTTATGGTTCCCCATGGAACCTGTGTGCCAAATACACACAGTGAAAGGTTTTCATTTTGCCATCTCTGTTTGTTGAGGCTCTGCAACTAACTCAGTTCCTGGTGCAGGTCTCTCCTTATTGACCAGTAGGCACTTGGAAATAGAGGATTGCACCCATTCCTACTGTTTCAGTCAGTGGTCAGCAATGGTCTTCATTCCTGTGCTGTTGTTACAGTCCAGAACTGTAGTTTCTGGGTAGAAGATGACTAACACTTGTCTGCCTGACAAGAGAGGAAAGAGACACAGGGCTGTGTCCAAAGAAAGCCTTGCACAGTGTGAGAAGTTCTGGCTGCATAGATAGCAAAGGAGATTTTAGCCTTCAGGAAGGCTAGTGGATAAACATACACTCTGCATACCTCAGCCTCCCCTCTCTTCTTCCTTCCCTTACAGGCAGACCGGACTGCCCTGCACTGGGCTGCAGGAGCAGGGAACGTGGATGCTGTGCGACTGCTCCTGGACCACAATGTGCCGGTGGATGATGAAGACAATGTACAAAGGCTCCCTTATATGTCCTGCAGATGCATTCTGTGCTGGGGGAGCACCGGGTGGTGCTGGGCTGAAAGTTACAGACATCACCTTAGCCCTGGGTGGGTGGCACAAGGCACTGCAGTGCTTGGGAAGCTGTGGCAGGTGCAGTGCCTTTCTGGAGCAAGCCTTGTTTTCTGCTCTTTTTGGCCTTCTGCTTGCATGCACAGTGACCAGGAAGTAGGCTGGTAGAATCAGTGAGAATGATGGGGATGGTGGTAGCTGCAGATAGCGGCAGTGTCTCTTTTACTTTGCCCAGTTTGGAATGAATGCACTTCTGCTGTCTGCCTGGTTTGGCCACCTCCGTGTCCTGCAGATCCTTGTCAATGCTGGAGCCAAGATTAACTGTGTCAATAGGGTAAGAGACTCCCTATGTGCGTCCATCACACAGCTCGAGAGACTGATGCAGGGGGGAACAGGCTTATCTGTGAGCTAAGATGGTCATATGTGACAGCATCTGCTATGGGGACTGCCATCTCCACTTCTGCCTTATTCTTAAACCAGGATTAGTATTTGTAGCTTTAGGGGTATACGTGGCTTGTTCACCTCACATATGTGCAGTGGTGATGTGGAAGGTGTCATAGAAATGGGAAACAGGTTTAGTGTATCAGCAGTCTTTGTATTTTTAAGCAGACCTTGGTTGGGAAAAGGAGCATTAATACTTGAGTCATAACCTGCTGTCTGCAGCACAAGCTAGTTCAGCCCTAGAGGTGGAGGGAGGGAGGCATGGAATAGGTCGTTGCTACTGGGAACAGCTTGTTAAGATTGAGACTGTACCTCAGTTCTGGACTTGTTAAATGAATGGTCATTTATTCCTGTTCTCCTCTCCAGAATGGCAGGAACCTGCTCCACTGTGCTGCTCAGAAGGGACACATCCAGGTAATGGAGTTCATCACGGAGGACCTGGAGGATGTGTGTGTGGATAAGACAGACAAGGTAGGAAGGCTTTTCACACAAATGTAAACTAGAATAAAACTTAACAGAAGAATAATTTTTGAAGTGCAGCACTTTTTCCCACTGTGGACTGGATTATTGCCCAAGGAATTATTGTGCTGCTTACAGCAGATGCTCTAATCTTGTGCTTTCTCAGCCTTTCTTGGACTGTATTTCTTTGTTTCCTTGTTTCCAAAGTTGGACAGGACAGCATTTCACCTGGCTGCAGAGAATGGGCACCTGGAGGTGGTGGAGTTCCTAATTCGACTGGGTTGTTCTCGCAATGCCAAAGACAAGGTACGGGGATAAAACCACACACAAGGGAGGTAAATTCCATGGATTAGAGAATGTAAAAGTCAGGGAGCAGAACACCAAATGAGGCTTATGCAGGCAAACTGTCAGCAGTTGTTAACTGTGGTTGTGGTATGCCAGGGCTCTTCTTCCCTATCCACTTGCAAGCCATTTGCACCTCAGTCCACACTGGATTTCTCTCCAGTGCTTTTCAGATGAGATACACAGTAAGCCTGGTGGTCCATGCTCCAGTTGAGGTAGCTGCTGCCCCTAATAGAAGACTGCTTCAGGCTTGTGATACTGGTTACAACCTCCTTTTCAGTCATGCTAGACTGTGCTCTGTGCGAGGTTGTGGCATATGAACACTCAGTCCTGTTATACATATATGTATGAAGTGGTTATACTTTCAGGAAGAAAATACAGCATTGCATTTAGCTGCTAAAAACGGACACCTCTCTGTGCTCCAGAAGATTATAGATGTTGGAGTCGACCTTGACAAAAAGAACATGGTAAGTGTATTTAAATGAAATAAACCCCACAGCAGTTCTACCCTTTCCCTCCCTAGAAATACCCTCCTGCCACAATCAGGCTGAGCACTCAGTATTGACAGGAGAGGTCTAGAGGATAGCTTTTACCTAAAGTGTAGGTGTTCAAATGCAGGTCACAGTTGCACAGCACCAGTGAAAGGCAGCATCTTCCTTGGACCAATATCCAGTTCTAAAGTGTTGCCTTTTCTTCTGTATATGCTGACCTTATCACTCAATTTGATCTCTGTTTTTTTCCCTGACCCTTGTACATTCAAGCACCTAAATAGTCATCAAGTGTGCTTTAAACTAAACTTCACTACACTTTATAGTATTGACTTAGTCACTGAACATATGGACCTTCTGTTTGAGATCTCTTTTTGACAGATCTGCTTTGGAAAATTACATGGGTGGAACACAGTTAATGACTTAGATAGCAAATATTGGCTTAGTAACATTGTTATTTATTCCAGGGCACGCTCCCAATTGAGCTTATCAGCAGTTTTTTTAGTCTTATTTACTGTCTTTGAAAAGTATATTTGATTGTGACTTAGATCTGAAAGAAAGGGGACACCACCTTCTGTGGTAACTCTGGTAGCATTTGTTTTCCCTCAGATGAGCTGCCCTTTGTGCAAAGAGCAATAATCAAAGCAGATTAAACCTTCTGCTTGCTTCTGTTTTCATGTAAAGAAATGAGCTCTAGATCTCGGAAGGGAGAACGAGTGGTTGGGGGCCATGAGTTTCTGGGTCCTCCTGTGGCTGTCTCTGAGCTATTCCAAGAAAAGGGCTTGTCTTCATTGTCCATGTGAAATGCTCTTTTGTTTGCTAATGGGCTGAAAGAGAGAAAAGATGGGAACACGATGTTTGCCTTGTGGCCCATGGGCCAGCTGTCTCCAGTGGCATAAGGGCAGAGCAGTACTTGGCCATATCAGCTGCAGGTAACTGTGCCCTTTATCTTCCTAACAATACACTGGAGATCCGTGGCCCTCAGAACTGGTATTATAACATGTAACAGGTTCAGAAGACAGGGTAGAGACCTCACTCTGCTGCTGTCTGGTCCTTGTCTACAGAAATGCTGCTTGTCTCCTTTTTTGCCTTGTCCAGGAAGGACTTACAGCTCTGCACATGGCTGCTGAGGGGGGTCACAGTGACTGTGTGAAGCTGCTCTTGGAAGCTGGTGCTGATGTCAATGCTAAAACACAGGTTAGCTCCACAGAGGTGGTTCCATTTCCAAACACGAGTGTGTGGATTTTTGCCCAGATCTGTGGCCTTCCAAGTAGGGCACCCATTATTGAATGAGGCCACGTGGAGCCCAGCACTTCACAAACAGTGCAGATGGCTTTATACAAAGAGGGTGATGCTCCCTGGGACTGCTCTGGCTGTGGAGACAGTGTCTGTGAACTTCTTGGTATGGGGGCACGGGGCTCTTGGAGGAGAGAAGCGGAGAGATCTCTGTGGATAGTCTGTAACAACTGCAGCCCTGAGCAGAATCCCTGACTCACACCCATCTCTTTTGATGTGCCTCCCAGAAGAAGATGAACTGCCTTCATTACGCAGCACTGCATGGCTACGAGGAGACAGGCAGGATCCTTCTGGATGCAGGAATCCACACGGATGCTGTTAATCACGTAAGTCTGATTAATGCTCTCATCACTTACAAAAAGTCAAAGCCAACTTGTGGAGCTATTCAAGAGCACAAAGCAACTTCAGAAGGACCAGTGTGTCTGTGCTTACAGAGCAGTGCCCCCAGTCTTACCTCGAATCCAGGCTGGAATCTGTCTTGGAATAAGGCATGCTGGGCACAGCATGATCCTTTCATTGCCTGAGCTAAACTCTTCCTAAGCACAGGGTCTTCTTTCCACAGCAAAACGCATCAGCGACACACATTGCGGTGCTGCAGAACTTCCCAGCCATGGTGAAGCTTTTCATCGATGCGGAGTGTGACCTTGACATTGCAGATAATGTAAGACTGCAGCTCCTGTTCTTTGAAACGTGCACTAGTTCCATGGGGGAGTTGATCACCCTGGGGACAGGATTAAAGAAGAGTGCTTTAAAATGGGGAAAACCTGGAAGCGCAACTTAGGAAACACGAGAGCTGTGAAATGACTGAGTATTGCAGTGAGGTAACCAGTTGATGACATTCAACACCTAGGCTGTGCCATGTCCCTGGGACCTCTGCACAGCTCATTGCACAGTCAGTCATTCCTTAGTCTGAAATAGCATCAGGGAGGCCTCCTAGTGCTGGTGCAGACCAGTTCTGCTCAGCCTGAGGAACTCAACTCCAGTTTGAGGCAGGAGGGTGTTTAGCCCTCAGTTTAAACAGGCATAGAGGGGAAGGGAGGGCAGAGCTGACAGGGTTCTTGCAGCACTTCTTCCTGGTATTGTTCTGTCCTGTCCTTCCAGCCTCATACTTGTCCTCCTCTAAAACGTAGTCCTTTCACCCTCCTGCAGAGGCAGCAGACCCCTCTGCACATCGCTGCGGAGCACGGCAGGCAGGACGTGGCCGAGATGATTCTCATTGCAGGAGTCAATCTGAAGCTAACAGACAAGGTAAATGTCTCCATGGGTCAGATAGATTCCACGGGGTCAATACGGATGGTCTTTGCACTGTTGTAATTACTTTCAAGGGAGGTTAGTAATAATATCAAACTCTGGATATTTCCAGGGAGAAGGCCTTGAAACGCTGCTGAGCAAGTTATTTAGCATTCTAGTTAATTCAACAAAAGCGTTGTCTGAAAAGCAGGTATATGTTATAGCAAAAGGAATTCTAGAGGAATCGGGTAAGTTGTGTGCAGCCTGAAAGCGTGGTATGCATACAGAAAATGCTGAAGCAGGTTTGGGCAGCCTGTGGAACCACAGTGGGACTCAGCACAGGGAACATGTTCCCACTTTGCTGTGTGAAATTCGGTTTCTGCTCACATCTGAGGCTAGAACTGCTCTCCCTAGCATGCCTGAGGGCTGGGCTGGCTCACGTTCCTGTGTGCAGCATTCAAATCTTGTTCCTTTCTGCTATAAGCTTTCAGATACAGACACAAATCATCCCTGTGCGATCCCAAATCATATTCATGTTAAGGAGTGTAATTACAGTTTCATAGTCCCATCAACCTGTGCTTCTCCTAGGAGACTGTTTCTAATCATGTGTATGTGGAGCCTATAAAATTAATGAGTTTGTATAAGTCACTTGAGTTTCATGTGCCAGCAAACCTGCTGTGCGAAAGGCTATAAAACACCTCAGACTGTAGTGCTGAGCTGGTCCTTGGGCAGCTGCACCCATGTTGCTGGGGGCCTAAGAGCACCCTGCCATCCACTGAGGGATGCAGGATGCTTTCCCGACCAACAGAGAAGATGCTGTGGAGCCTGGAAAAAGACTCCTCTTGCCCTGAAGGCAGTAGCTCCAAGCTAGCTCACATCCACAGTGTGTACAGGTGGAGAGTAGGGGTTGTACATCCTCATTGCTCAACAGGCCGTGCTGCCTGCTACTACCGACTATGGCATGGGCATGGAGATTGTACCTCCTAAGCAAGCAAGGTCAAGGTCTTTCTTTTCTAGCTCATTTTCCCCCTTCTCATTTCAGCAAGGGAAGACATCTCTGGATGTTGCTGCTCGGGGCAATCACATCAACCTGGCAGACATGATTATCAAAGCCGATCGGTTTTACAAATGGGAAAAGGTGAGCAGCATACATACCATCTCCTGTGCTTCCCAGGGCAGATGTGGCTTTGTTCTCTCCATGGTACCAGCTGTCAGAAGAAATACAGGACATGCTGGGACAGCCTGACCTCTGCTTTCATCTCTTTACCTAAGAAAAGCATAAGTCCTTAACATGCCCACAACATCTACTTCAGGTTTTCCTTATTTAAAACAGCCCCTGTTGCTAAAAAAATCCAGGCTGTGCTGAAGGGAACAGGGGTTTTCAAAGATTCTTTGGCAGCTGTTCCCAAAGCCCTGCAGAAGGGATTGGAATACCATTAACTCCTTTTGCCCAGGAGGAGAAACTGGGAGGCTGGGAAATGAGAGGTACATCTGCAGTATCCTAGCCAAACCCTCTGTTCTGGCTTTGCAGGACAATCTGAACAGTGACTCTGACTCCTGGGTAGCAAAGCACTTGACCTTTAAGCAAGATCACAGGGTGGAAACACAGCACATCCGCTCAGTAATGTGGAGACTGGCTACCAAGTACCTCAGGCCTGGTGAATGGAAGAAGCTGGCACATTACTGGAAATTCACTGATGCCCACATTAGGGCCATCGAGCAGCAATGGACAGGTATAAAACACCACCCCGATATTTGCCCTCCTTCACTTGGTCTGTGATTCTAGGAGAGAAGTCTGCAATAATAGCAAAGCATGAATTTGTCTAGGAGTAAAGCACATGGGTTACCAGTTCATTACTCGCTCCTGAAGGCACTTGCCAGACCTGCGAGTTCTTCCTACAATTCCTATTCTATAGGACAGAAAAAATTTGGTAGTTTTATTTTTGTCTTTTAAGGAGCTGAACCAAACAGGCAGTGAAGTCCCATAGGATTTAAGAGATACGTTAGTAGAAACAGGTTCTGAGTTTCATAAACAGATCACAGCCGGTTTGGTTACTGTAGTTTGCAAGATGCAAGGATGGGGCTAAGCTATGATCTGCGGTAGAAAGCCTATACTGCCATGAGAGGTTGCCTGACAAGCCCAAGCTCATGCATAGCCACTCCATGAGTTTCACATGAATTAGCAATCACACCACAAGCAGGAATTCAGCTAAACTGTACTTTAGAGCCTTCTAGTAGGCTCCAGAGAGGAGGGGGGGATGAGGGGTGTCCAAACTCACCAGTTCAGAAATCCACTCTGGTCAAGGCCATGCACTGCAAGCACAGGATTTAACCTCTGGTTTCATCTTGCCAGGCACTAAAAGCTACAGGGAGCACGGCCACAGAATGTTGCTCATCTGGCTCCATGGTGTGATCACAGCGGGAGAAAATCCAGTCAAGGGATTATACGAAGGCCTTGTGGGGATTGGAAGAAGAGATTTAGCAGGTGCTATATAATGCTTTTGTCTTCCCTCAAATAATGCACACTGAGCACTACTTAATTCTGTGGTGACACAGCATATGCAGAGGAAAAACTAACACGAATTCACACAAGGTGAAAGCCACCCTGCCCCTTGCTACCCGTTGTTAACTAATGCATCCTGCCACAGCTTTGTATTTTCATAGAATGGTTTGGGTTGAAGGGACCTTAAAGCTCACCCAGCTCCAACCCCTGCCATGGGCAGGGACACCTTCCACTGGAGCAGCTTGCTCCAAGCCCCATCCAACCTGGCCTTGAACACTGCCAGGGGTGGGGCAGCCACAGCCTCTCTGGTCACCCTGTGCCAGCGCCTCAGCACCCTCACAGGGAAGAGCTTCCTAATATGTATTGTAAATCTCCCCTGTGGCACGTTAAAGCCATTCCCCTTGTCCTGTCCCTGCAAGCCCTTACAAAAAGCCCCTCTCCAGGTTTCCATGCAGCAGAACTTCCTCTCTTTTACAGAAAGCATTCGGAAAAAAGCAAACGCCGACTCTGCCTCTCCACGGAAGTGTGTAGCAATGTAGCACCAGGATGGTACCAGTGACTCCTTCGACAACTTGTCCTCAAGCTAGAGGAGAAACCCTTGCTGTGCTGGTGATCTGGAGGCAGCCACAACTTAAGGGCTTCTTGTCATCAACAGCTGGCACCACCATTGCTTCCTTCTCCGGAACAGGGAAGAAGGCATCAGCAAAGCCAATGGCCTGAAACTCCTCTTTACAGAGGAAGGAGAGTTTTGTTGGCTGCTGTAGCAGGAGCTCAGCGAGCCAGCCTCATTTCTCATACTGTGAGCATCAGGAACTGCTGTTCTACTATAACTGGTTTACATCTCATTTTTGTACATAAATTTTACTTGTGTGTTTGTAAGTTATTGAGGGCAAAGCCCTTGCTTTCAGGAGTGTTCTTTACTTACCTTGTTTTGGGAAGTGTCTGTCCCTTGTGTCCTAATATGTTCAGAATGTCCTTGTTAGGGCAGGAATTTAGAAGAGCCAAGGCTCCCACCTGGTCCTTCTGGAACCACGAGGGCTGTGATCTTTAACAGAAAATTTCAGAGATCATTAACATACACTGTTTACAGATGTACATTAACCTATACATACTGTTCATGAATCAACCAGGGAACTTCCTTAATCCATAGGTTACACTTTTCAAGCTGTAAGATAAGAATGATCATTGGTTATCTACACAGCCTCTGACGAGGACATAGTTTTCTTAAAAACTTATTTATCATGTAATACTTTGTATTTGTTTTTTACAGTGTTTCAAGGGTAAAATAATGTCTGTATTTCAATAAATCCAAGTTTTACCCTTATATTTGCAAGTTACATCCTAGTTATTAATTATTAAAACAACACTACATAATTCTTACTTAGAGCTAAACCAGCACAACCTGGTGTTCTTCATCCCTAGAGGTGTTCTTCATCCCTAGAGGTGGCTGTAGAGGCAAACCAGGACCAGGATAAGTTACAGAGCTGTTTCTCTTGTAGTGACAACAAGAGACCCTTACTGAAAGTGAAGTTTTATTGAAAACCATCTTTTAAACAGCAAGAAAGTTAAAAATTCAAGTGCTTTATTTCCAATAGAAACAAACTAACTTACAACACAACATACAAGGCAAATAAGTGATGGCAACCTTGTCACTTAAACCAAATATTCAACAAAAATATATGGTGGCTTCTAAGTACACAATTTGCATGTGGCAATATATACAGCTGAGTGAAGAGTATAAAAAGAAATGCTGCTCTGCTGAAGAACATGACAGTGAGGACTTTGGTAGCAAAAAGTGTCTTTTGTTTTTAAAACTGTAGTCTTCAAAGATGCTTCCTTCAATTCAAAGACTAAAAGTTAAACAGCTCTATCCCATTGGACTGCTGGAGGTTACTGTCCACAGGCAGATCACTGACTGATCCTGCTGGAGTCACACAGTGATAATCGGCTAACGCAGGGGAAAGGGCAGAGTGGGAACAGTTGCTCATACACAGGAAGACCACGGAACCATTTCCTCATTTTTCACCAGTGCTCCAAGACCTACTGCTCTTGTTCATTGCTGGAGTGAAGACTGATCTTCTGGACTTCCAGCTCTTCTGCACTGACCATAGAGGGATCGATGGCTGCGTACCGGGTACCATGGAACTGCAGCAAATGGATCTGTTGAACACAAAGTAATGCTGAAACAAGTGTAGAAGCACAAGGTTTTGGTAAAAACAAACAAACAAAAACATTTCTCCGAGTAATTATTGTGAGGATGAAGGCTTTTGAGTACAAGAGGACAGAGAAAATGGGCAAGAGATGAACCCCAAAGTCAGCCCCCCATGAATGTGACTACTTCCATCCCTGCATTCTGTGTCAGCAATCTGGGAGCAGAGCTCAGGCAAGCCAAGGGGGGAAAAACCAGGACAGAAAAGACATTTCCTATTGCTGTGCACAGCAGCAGATGTGGTTTGAATGCAGACACTCACTTGAATATACAGGTTGACCTCAGCACTCCTGCAGAGATAGGGGAAGTTGCCTCCTGTTTTGAGATGAGCTCTTCTGGCATTAGGATAAAGCTTATACATCTCTTCTTTTGCTTCAGTCGAAAGCGCGCTTTGGTCAAACACCTGCATAACAAGTCACAGCTGTTAGGTCCGAATCCCAGATTTTGATTATCAAGTCACACTGGCTATATGTCAAGTCACACTGCTCCTGGAAGCAATTCTCAGGTTCTCTCTGGAACAGTGTTAATGAAACAGAAAACAAAGGGAACACATCAGAAAGCAAATGCTGTGATACGTGAACGCATGGTTGTGTTATGGCACAGAACAGTTTGTAAGTTGACAAAGAAGAGTCCTGGCATTGCCCAGTCAGTAAAAGACTTGACTAAATATGAAGTTACGTGCTGCCAATACTTACTAAGTTGCTAAGAGAACGTCCAGACCCCACCTGGAGGGGAGGAATTGGTGTTTAAGAAAAACACACAAAAGGATGACACTGAGATTAACTTACGTCCATAATGGTTACAGGGATGTCCCGAATTTTATGAGGTTCTACATAGGAATTCTGGCAGTTGAGGGTAAGTCTTGAGGCGAGCTCGCTCTGGCCCAGGCTCTCCAGCTTGCAGTAAAGAGAAACACTGATTAACACCCTATTTCACTGCAGGAAGTTAATGCAGTATTAACAACAGAACCAAAGAGAAGTTAGTTTTACAGGAAAACAGTTAAAGATCATAGTCCCAACTTAGTATTACTCTGCACGAGACATGCTTAAAGTATGTTCCATTAGTTGCTCCTGCCTCCAGAGCATGGCCTATAGACATAGCCCAGCACCTTCTCCTCTGCCACCCCAGTTTAACTTCCTCTTTTGATCTCCATAAACAGAACCATAAAGGCAGATGGTTGCAGCATCAGGTAAAGTGCTGGGGCCGTGACAGTCATCACCTGCCCAAAATCCATCCCTTCCTCCTCCCTCCTGGGTAAGTAAATGAAGGAAGCAGCAGAAATATCCACAACCTCCTGCTAAGCAAATCTCCTACAGAGATGGACATCACAGCATGAGAGTACACAGGTACCTACCCTGTCCACCATGAAATCGATCCCATCGGCCATCTCAGGATCCAGAGGACCAGATGCAAAATTCCCAAGGACAATTTTTTTCAGCATAAAAGCAGGCATTAGCCAAAAGCTGAAACAGAAACAAGACGTAACAGCCTTCAAGCACTGAGGACCCCAATGGTGACATGCTTTGTTGTCAGTCCCCCCTTTCTTGGCACAGACTTTGCGCTTTAACTTCAAATGAAATCCTGAAGAAGCTTCAAGAACACAGAGAGGGAAAACCTGGCAGTGAGGTGCTTGAACTGCTTTGGGAAGCTGTTGGCCTTCCATTGCAGAAGTGTATTTTAAACATGGTGAATAACACTTCCCTCACTCTAAGTGGTTTTGCTAGAGAAGAGGCAGTTGTTAAATCTGACCACACATCCACAGAGGATCACAGAATGACTTGTCTGTCAGATTCCACGCTCCCAGTTGTGAACATTCCCATTCTCTTTATGCTGTGGCTTCAAAACTCACAAGTATTCCATCCCACACCTCCCTCACCAGGCTGGAGACAGGCTAGACACATGTCCAACCAGAGCAGCAGGACACTTCACCACAGACAGGTTAATGCCATGAATCTGATTGCTTGTCTCAGCCTTGCTTACCTGTTTGCTGTCCAGGTCTGATTGAAGATAGAAGTGTCGCTAAAGGAATTACACAGGATCAGAGACTGAACTCTGGGAGATTTGTGTGTGTATTCAGCAAACTTCTGAGCCAAAAAACCTCCCAGAGATGCTCCAAAAAGGTGAACCTGGTGCAAGGAAAAGAACCAAAATCAAACAGATCACTTGTGAAATATGTGACCTCTAAGCACAAGGTTTCATTGCAGAAATAAGCCACTGTAGTTTTACCCAGTCCTCATGACAATTTTGTTAAAGAATCCCTCTTCTATTCAACTTCTGGGTCTATGCATGATATAAATGTGATCAAGATTGAAAGGAAATGTTTCCAGACCACAGGCCCAATGTCTGTGTGCTAATCAAGCTTAAGAAAGAACGAAAAGGAACATATCACTCTGGCTTCAATAGCTGTTCCCCAGTCCAAGACACTTCGTTGTGGTATCCTGCACCACGTGAGCTTGGAAGGGTAACTTCCACAAGATCACATGGAAACCTAAAGTTACCCAATTCAACTTAACAGGCCTAGAACAGCAGCTGAATTTAGGCCAAGTACAACAATTTTCAAGGGTACTCACCTTCAAAAATAAACTAGTTCCAAATGTAAAGTTCCAACACAGCCTCTTTATTTCTAGGCTACGTTTTTGTGTCACGTGTTATACGCCTGCTCTTAAACGAGACTCTCAAATGTTAGGTTTTATTGCAACTCCACATCCATTTCCCCACCCCTAAGCACTCACTTTATCCAGCTGAAGGTGGTCCAGCAGTTTTCTGAACCCATCACAGAACTCCAGGTGATCCCAGTACACTGGATACTGCAACTAAAGTAACACACAGTTAGAAAAAGCCATCTCGGATCAGTACCTGTCAGCTGTCTCCTTGAAAGCCACACCAAATCTCACAATAAGGGTTTCATAATAGCAACCTTGCCTGTAGCATGAGGCTCAGGCTCTTCAGCAAGGTCCCTCCAGCCCAAGGGTGTGAACACCTCCCCTTTGCTTGAACTACAGTCCATGACAAGGTACCACAGAGCAACTTTGCTGGGGAAAGTGCAGCACTGCTTCATTCTGTAATCAGTGAGGAGAGGCTGGAATGATTCTGCAGTGTTTTTGTGGCATGTGAAGTTGGCAGGCACAGAAACTGTGAACTGCTGTTAGAGTGCTCCTGAAGCTGTTTAGCAGAAATACTGTTGTTCAAATCAATCATCTCAGTCCTGCTCAGGAGCTGACAAGCCACAACAGACCTGTCGGGATTTTAAGGAGCGACTTAGCAAGCTGGCCAAGACCCACCATCCCTAAGGAAAACATGGAAACCCTGAACTAACCCACATCTTTGCCTCGTGGCTAACAAAGATCCAGCTGGAGGCAAAGACGACTGGTGTCCAGGGCAGCAGACAAGGGAAAAACACACTGAAGTTAATAACACGTATGCACAAGGCTTTGGGTAAGTGCTGATGTGGACATACAGCAGATTTCAGCCTGGATCTGCTGCACACTCTGGAGTGCAACTCAACATCGTGTTCTTTGTGGATTCCCTTAATCAAAACTAAGTTCGCCTTCATTATCCAGCCTCTCACACAAGTACATTCACTCTGACACAGCACTGGGAATACTCACAGCGATAACTCTGTAGCCCCAGCCGGTCAGTGCCAAAATCTGCTGGAAAAACACATCTGCAGTTCCACTTACAGGAGGGAGGAATATGAGCGGGCAGCGAATGCTCCGAGGCCCAGCATCATACAGCGACCAGACTTTGCTGTCGTCATCGTCTACTATTATCTGGAAAGAGAGAGGCATGTGGAGGGGAGAAGAAACACACCAGAGACATGAGGCTCTTCAGCCAGCTTCCAGAACTGCTCCTACAAGATCTGTGCCATCCAGTAAATGTTGTAAGCCTCAAGACCCCTTCGAACAAGACCATCTTTTGCTCTTCCAGCTTTCTTCTCCAAGGCTATTTCTTAACTGGCACAACAAGGTTTGTGCAGATATAGCTGGAGCAAAACTGTGGCCATGCACTGCCAGACCACATGCGCATCTTGACATCAGCTGGATAATGAACACAGTGCCTTGGGAAAGGAACAGGAAAGGAGCCACTGTGCCACAGCCCAGGAGAGACCCAGGAGGTCAGTTCAAGGTATGGAGGGCAACAGCCATGGGCAGGCAGAGCCAGCACTGCCTTGGGGGCAGCTTTTTAAGCAACCATTGATGTTTGCATTCACTGGACATTACAGGTCTGGATACACACAAGCCTACTGAATTAAGCAGTAACTATCTATCTGAACTAGCTATCAGATGCAGTTACAGCTGGCTGCCAGACACTGAGATGCTCACAGCTCCCAAAGCAGCACTGCAAAGCTGACCTGGAAAGAAAAATGCTTCCATCATCTGGCAGCACCTTGGGAGCATCTGGAGTGCTCAGGACACACGGCTGGCTGAGGCAGAGTATTCACATGCAAGCTTAATGGATAGTTCCTCACACAGTGCCCATCTCGGGCACAAACTGTATCCTTACAAGTATCAGAATGAGGTAAAAGTCTCCTTTTCCAGCAGTGCTGGAGCCTGACTTGTTTTTATGGGGCCTGTTCCACCAGCAAACTGTTTTGTTTACTTAGGATGCTCTTTCAACACCCCACAACCCAGCCAAAGTGTGCAGCTCAAACCAGACCAACAAGCACAAGCCTCTGGGGAAAGCCTGTGTCACACAGGGGAATTCACCTCCACTGCATCAAGATTTTACAGCTTTTTGAAGAGTAACACACAAGCACAATTTGCTTTTCCATCCCAGCAGTTAAGCTGCTCAGGGAACCAGGGAACAGCGTATCACAAAGCTGATTTGCTTGACTAACAATCTGCTTGTACTGAAGCCGGTATTTCAGGCTCTGGGAGCATGTGAGACATCACATGATTTTGTTTTGTAAAGTCTCTATGGAAAAAAGCAAGATTGCAAGGCTTCCAGACCATTCAAAAATAAACCCTGCACAAAAGCCCTTCCATCCCCAAACAGCCCTTTGCACAGAAGTCCAGAGCTCCAGCTGTCAATCCATCAGTTACGTTGGATCTGGGCACCCGCTGGTGGCTACTGCAACGTTTACCTTTAGGAATACTCCTTGGAATCACAAACCCAAAGTTAGTTCATGTCCAAAGAGCTGAGGCTCAGAGATGTTTCTTTCAAGCCCAGACAATGAATCAATGGGTTTCAACAACGGTTTGATTTGATTTCTGGCCACGTACCGTGTGGTTTCATTCCAGATCCCAAGCCAGGCCAGCACTGTGCAGGCAGACAGCAGCATGGGTAACTGCTGAGCTGGGAGGTCACAGCCTTCTGGTTCTGGTTGATCAACCAGCATCACCCACAGTTTACATGAAGGGTAAAGTGTGCTCTGCATCAAAACAAGGGGCAGAACTTCCTGCTTGAGCTTAGCAGAGCCAGAGTGTCCCTTGCTGAAGGACTAAGACAGGAGCAGTGTATGCAAATAGTGCCTCAAAGGCAAAGCTAAAAACTCAGATTAAAACTGTTATTTTCTGTGTTGCACTTCCTATATCTGAGAAAAGCCGGAAGGGTGATGGAGCTGTGCATTTCCTGCTCCTGTCAGGAGGAACATCTCAGCCTGTTCTCAAACAACCTGCTCCAGCTCTGCTTCCTTAAGTTGATCTGACAGCAGTAACGTGCTTAGCAGCAATAATGATGGTCATCCCTTCCTCTGCTCTGCACATGCTTTGCCTGTATTTTGGGGCAGGGGGGGATAAATATTCCTAAAGACTGCTTTAGAGATCAATTACATCTTTGAGTTGTGCTTTGTTTCCCCTTCTCTCTCAAAAAACTCTCTCTCTCCATCTTCTTCACACCCCGCATGCGTCACTGTGCCATCATTAGACTGAACCACTCAGGAGGGGAGGGTATTCCCATCTGAAGGTCAGCAGCAGCTTCAGTTTACTCATGTCCCCATTTATGAAACCCCAGCAGCAGCTGAAGGCAGCAGCCCCTGGCAGTGAGCTGCGGTGTCACAGTCCCCATGGCAGCAGGAGCACGTTCTGCTGTAACCACAACCTCCAGCACCTTTCATTTACCAGACTGCACCCCAGAAAGCAGTGCCTTAGAGCATCCACATGCCTTTCCAATGGAATACTGTCCCCTGGGTCTGCTGACCCATTGCCTGAAGGGGACAGGATGGCACAAACAGACACAGGAGATCTGGAACTGGGCAGAAACAGAAAGAAGCTGGACAGCCAGAGCCTAGAGAGCATGCACAGTCCCAGCAATGCATCCTTCTCACTTACAGAAAACACAAACTGGCAAAAATGAATGAGAAACCCTGAACAGAAGATCCTACAGCCCCTCCATAAAAGTAGCTTTTTACAGAAAGCTACACACCACTCAGTGGAAATAATGCTGAGCACATGTAAGGATTGTTCCTCAGGTTTGGGACACAGTCCCTTTTGTGTGGCCCAACTGCAACCAACCTACTGTTGAAACAGGTAAAGCTGCTCTTGCCTCTGCTGCCAGCACCATCCTCATGTTCTCACAGCCCACACAGCCATCCAGATTAGGAAACTGAACAAGCTGGAGGTCATCTTAGCCCCAAAAACAAACTATAGAACACCCCCAAGCTACACAGGTCACTGAATCTCAATGACTGTGATGGCAGGAACAGAAGGCTGGTGTGTAAAGGTAAGACTGTCCTTCAGTTTGGCAGGATTCTGGCCTCCTGCTGCACGCTAGTCTGTAACTGCAGCTCCCACAAGCCCTATCTGCAACAGGTACGTGCAAGAGTTAGTCCAGCGCAGGAGCTACATATTAACGCTGGCACTCCATGAGCTCTGCCATTCAGCACATAGAGAGCAGAAGGTGGAGCACTGCTCACCTCAAACACCCTCCTGCGGTTAAGTGAAAGGGAGTGAAGAAATCCAAGTGAGAGGAGAAAGTGGTTGGAAAGTGTGATTAAGCAGAATACATCTAAAGGACACGCAGCGGAAGAAACCACATGGTATTTTCCACCATGGTTCAGGCACATTTCCACTCCCATGAGCAGGAAGAGCAGAGGTGGCTCTGGCAGCATGGCTGTGTCGTGACTGGGTCAGCTGCCCTGCCCTGGTGCTCCATGAGGGGCCTTGCATGTCATTCCCAGCACACCCTAGCTCCTCAGAGTCTCCTCCTTAAGCATGGCTGGAATCAGGATGCTGGGTATTGCTGCTGTGGCTCACAACTATGAGCTGCTGATCCCCACCACCACATGCAGAAGTGACCTCCTAGAAGCATGAGAAAGTGTAGGGCATGCTTTCATGCACTTACATGACACATGGGACAACAGGAGATAAACGAGGTCACCAGCACAGCTACAGCTGTTCTGCATTAACCAGTCTCACCCACCACAGCAAGAGGAGACATTTCACCACAAGACCATGGCAGCTGTACACACCTTCTTAAGAGGAACTGTGCTTCTGAACCAGTTGTAGTCAGGAGAGACCTTAATCTCTCCCATGATGTTTAGGAAACGCTCAGATTAGGTCAGCCTGAAAGGGAGAGACAAAGTTAGAAATTGATAAATCGATCCAACAGCTTTACCAGAGGCAGCACTCAAAAGCTGTGCCACATACATAAAGCATGTGCAGGGCAAGTTTGCTCTGATCTGTACTGCCTCTAACCCACACCAAGTTTATTTATCTTCAGTGCTCATCCCAAACCACGTAATTCTCCCAAGAGGCAGCCACCTGACTGCCCTAATGTACCAGCCTGATTGTGATGATGCTTTTGTAACAGCTGTAGAGGACAACTGTGTTGCAGGATATAAGTGGTTTAAAAACCTAAAACATGTTTTTGGCTTGGTTTTAATTTATGAAGCACTCCAAATGTATGTCTAATAAACATTTATACAGCTCTCACAACAGAATTAAGTTATTTCATGAACCCACTGCCTAAGCATTCAGACCATGTTCTTCCATCTCAATGTAACTGACCCAAGGGGGTCCCAGCTGATCTGAGGCTTAGCTTACAAGCAAGCCCTGAAGCTTTAATTCTAACCACACAGAAGTTGACTCTGGTCAGGAGTTACCAACAAAGATAACTTTGAAGCACACCAGTTAATACAGAACAAACAGATTCAGACACGGGTCCACACAGGAATGCCACCAATGCACTCTCTGAAGTCAGAATGTCCTAGAAGACCTAATGAGTGTCTTATGATACTCCATAAATTAGTAATACACACTTCTAGATTTAACTTCTTTTAAGGCAGTGAGGGGCCATTAGCTTCCATTTATACAAGAGATGGTATCAAACAGTTCCCAAGCCTGCAGACTCAATGGCTTTACCCTGAAAGCCAACTGCCTCAGGAGATTATTTTCATGCTTTCACACACAGCACTGGGCATAATAAAACAAAGAAACTTTTGCTCTTGTTACTTAACAGTTGCCAAGTATAAATTAATAGGTTTTGTTTCCAAATTCTTCATAAAATAAGACCTTGGTATGTTCTGTGAATCATTCCATTGCTCCCTGCAGGAAAGCTGTTGGTGCACAGGCTCAACCAGCGGATTGGGTTAACAGTTACTTACTATTTCCTCATCCTTCAGCCTTCATTTGCCCTTTGCCAAGCACAGAAAACATGAACTTTAAAGTGAAAGCACTTTCTAAATGTCAAGACAACACATACAGAACACGTGATACACCTCTCATGTCCCACAAGGGTTTGAGGTACCCTTGTTTCACTTTTGTGTAGCTTTGCTTTGATGCTTCTATCAACTGTTTTGTTCTTTGCCAATCTGGCAGCAGGTAAAATTACAGCAGAGATAAAAAAATACCTATTCCAACAACCTGCAGAGAAGGCACAAATGTGTTACAGACTAAAGGGGACAGCCTGTTATTACAGAAAGGGAAGTGCAGTCCAGACCAATTCCTTTCCATAACTACACCTCAAGTAGCTCTCAAAAAGCTACTCAGGCAAAATTAGGGCAGAAATAAATTATCATCAAATGCCTTAAAACAACATGTTCTCTTTGACCATCATACTGCAACAGGGCCAAGAAACACAAGTCACAGGCAGGGCCTCACTCTGCCAGGCACCACACAGACATGGAGGCACAGGAAAGGGAGGCCTCCTGCTTGTGATTCTGTTTGCCATAAAGGGTTGGCAAACTTCCTGCAACAATCACCTCTCTTTTTCCACCACCTCAGTCTTTCAGCACTGTTAAGCTAATCCTTGTGGGCTGGCATTTCAATTGAAAGCTGCCTATCACTAGACTAGGTAAGGAAAAGGCATGATGCAGATGGACTCAGGCTATGCTCACACCACAGCAAGAGGCCACCTGCAACATAGATTCCGAGCTTCCCATCTCACCTGTTACTGCTCATGGAAGCAAACCATTGGCTGATTCTTGTCCAGGTACATCTGTGCTCACCACTCTTGAGGACTGCCCCTCTTTTATAGCAAGAGTAAACAGTTTTTTCATTGATTATATAGAACTTTTACTGAACTTGATGTCCTGTTACTGATTCTATTTTCCCTTGGCACAGAAACACAGCATTAAGTTTGCCACAAAATAAATATTCACGCCAACAACAACCATGAGCTTTTCCAGTCACAGAGCTGAACTATGAACTCAAAACAGGGAATCAGCCACTGAAGGCAACTCAAATCAGAAAGACCCTGAGGCTGTTCATGTGCAGCCTCTGAAGACCCAAGTTTCATTTGCAATAAAACCAAGCAATCTGAAGAACTCTAACCTCTTAAAAACAATTCCTCTAAAGGAAGAATCACTGATGGATGCATTGACAGCACTTCATAACATTCTCCTTGTGAGTTATCCCCACTACACTGTGACATGTTCCATTTGTTATCGACTTAGAAAGACTGACTGTGGCACTAGAGACTAGCCCCCTGTTAGGGTGGGTTACATGAGCAAGCACTCGGTCATCTCCCCGTGCTGTGCCTGTGTGCGCCAGGGCCACTGTGCAGCTGCCCCCCCACTGCACTGACTGCGCAGCACCCACTCCTTTGGGCCAAGAGACCTGAATCAGCAACAGCAGCACTGAGAGCTGGCAGGAGCTGCAGGCAAGCACCAGGAGATGAAAGGGAAACACCAGGGCTACGGGCGCTTTACGAACACCAAATGCAGGCAACGGGGAAGAAGAGCTATGGATAACTGGGACATGGCAGCAGGACCTTCCCCTCTCCCTCAGTGCTGTCACCGTTAACAGAGCCCCAGTGTGCCTACCAACCCCAGCCTCGTACCCAGACAAAACGGGCTCACCCGCTTTGCAGGTAGAAAGGGGGCAAACCCTATTCGGTACTCCCAGCCCAGGCACAGTCTGAGGCAGCCCCTTACCTTTAGAGCCACTGCAAGGACATGAGTCTGCAGTGCAGAGCTTTGAGTCTCCTGCTGGGCCGAGTCCCGAATCCTCCCCTCGCTCCAAGCCCAGGGGTCGTGATATTCCCCTCCTCCCCTGCCTGAGACCTCCGCACAGTCCCCCGGCCCCTGGGGCCCAGGCTTGTGCAAGACTAAAGTTGTACCGGAGGGTGAGAGACAACCCCCCCACCCGCCTCCCCGGTCTCCTCAGAGCCCGACAGCCCTCCAGTGCTCCCCACCCCGGGGCTTTCAGTGCCCCCCCAGCCCCCCCTCTCTGGTCCGAGACCCTAGCCAGAAGGACAGGCCTACCCCCACAGCGACAACCCTTCCCCTCTTGCCGCTCGGCCCTCACCGGCTCGGCAGCGTCCGGGGCCGCCGCTCTCCTCCCGCTCCCCGCCGCACCCTAAGCGGGGGCTCACACCGCCGGTGGCCACTTCCGGGTGCTGCTCCCGCGCCGGACACGTGACGATAGGGAGGAGCGCAGGCAGGCGCCATTGCTACCGAGGCGGAAGTAAGCGGTTGCGGCGCCATCGCTACCGCGGCAGGAGTCACGTGCCCCCGCGGAGGGGCGGTGATTGGTCTGTGGGCGGGGAGGGCCGCTGCCGCCATTAGCGCCTGGCGGGTAGGAGCGTCCGAGGGGCGGTTCCTCACAGCGTTGTTTTAATATAGAAATAAAGGTGCGGAGCGCTCTGGTGGTGCTTTACTCTGCTCTGTTCTGCCTCTCTGCTTAGTGCAGCCGCCGCTGCCATCCAGCGGGAGAGAGCGTCATTTTGTTACGTATATATGAGAAATGCGAGTGATTGCAGTGAACTGGCATGTGTTCAAGGCGGGCTCTCACTCTTACAGGCGTTAATTCAGCTCCCTTGATGTCTCTATGCAGAGATATCTTAAAAATGACATTTGCTCTTTCCGCTGGGTGCAGCCGAGCAGCGGTGTGTTATTTGCTGTCAGCACGACCTAATGGTGTTTGCAGTAGGAGGGCTCCGATTAATTAAGGAGAGCAGCAGAAGATCCGTTCTGGTCTCTGAGTCATTCCTGTAAAGACCAGGTGAGATCAATTAGCTTCGATTAAGTGGGACGTGACAATTAGGAGCTGAAAGTGAGAAACAGACCTGTAAATACCTGCCAGTTGTAGGAGTGTTCTCCGTAAGATATAGCTACAAGATAGGCTTGATTAACTAATATGGAGATACATAAAGTACATGCAATAGATAATATATTTAATAATTATGACACTGATAAATTACAGCAATTACACTATTAATGAATACATTTAGTCTCACCTAGTATATGTAGACTATATAACATAGGTAGTGGAGTTCCCTGCCTGAAGATCACCCTGTAGCAAGGTGTCATTTCATCAGTCTCCTGAAACTGCTTCATTTTGCCTCAAGTTGTCAGCTGCTTTCTCAGTTTAATCTTGTTATAAAAAGCCTTTTTAAGGACAATTTCTGCGATCCTAGGGAAATATTTCCTTCGTCTTCGATTTAGGAAGAGGATCAAAAGCCGGCCTCGCCTGAGGTAACTGTCGTGTACTGAGGGAGGAGGGGGGTGCGCTGTTTCCCAGACTGCATTTCCCATGATGCATCGCGACGGAGCGCCCACCCGCCCTTTACTCCCGGACTACATCTCCCATGGTGCCCCGCGCGGCTGCGCAGCTGATATTGGCTAAGCGGCCCGCGCGCTGCCCGCCGGGAGCAGTAGTCCGCGCTGTGTGCGCGGTGACGGCGGGCGGCAGCGCGCTGCCGTCATTGAGGCGGCGCCGCGTGGAGGAGGGGGGTGTTTACGGCGCGGGTGGGGCTCGCAGCACCGCCGCCAGCGAGGCCTAGTCGGCGGCGGGGGGGGAGCGGGCCGGGCCCGCGGCCGCACCATGTCCGCCTGCCACAGCTGCGCCGCCGCCGCCCGCCTGCTGGGCTCCACGCTGCCTTCCGCGCGGAGAGGTAACCGCCGTCCCCCCCCGCCGCGGCCCGGCCTGGCGTTACAGCCGGCGGGGCTGGGCCCTCCGTCCCGGGGCCTCCCGGAGGTGGGCGGGGGGGTGCTTTCCGCTCCCCTGAGGGGCAGCCCCGTTCCCTCCGGCTGTCAGCGCTCCGCTCCCCTCACACCGCTGCTGCCGGGGGGAGCGGAGCCCGCTGAGTCGCTACCGGAGCGGTGTCAGCGGGGAGCGCCGCGCTCCGGAGGCGCTGGTGGGGGACGAGCCCGGCGGGGGAGCTCCGTGCTGCAGCGCGGCGATAAGGGCTTCAGCGGAGCCAGCCCCGGCCTGTTTGGTTTTTGTTTCTTTTCCTGTTAATCTTTCGCTGTTGTCACCCGGGTGGTGCGAGGGGACGGCCGGTGGCGCGTCAGGATGAAGGGCAGCGTTCCACGGTGTGAAGTTCTGGAAAACAATCCCCTGTTGAAACACCTTTTGGGAAATGTAATGCAGTAATAGAGTTTATTTCGACAGAAGCGATTGTCAGCAGCAGTCGCACGGCGTGTGTTACCCTGCAGTGCCAGTAGTGAGCTTAGCTCACTGAGTAAAAGCCTATCTTTTGCAGCCTAAACTTGAAACGTTTCTTACAACGATTTGGGCTCACATAGCAAACAGCAGTTATTTCCAACTCGGTGGAAGGGTGACACTTAACTGGAAGCTGAAGCAGAAGGGTGTTACTTTTCTCCTACTTTTGTCCTTTTTATGGTGTTCTTGTGGGTAGTGAGGGTTGACATGCCCTGTGCTGCTTGGGGAAAGGCAGACCACCCCCAAATTGTGCTGAAAGTCTATGCTGTTGCCACAAGATTCTAATTGTACCCTTAGCAGTAGCCTGACAAGTCAGAGATGATTTATTGCCTTCAAGAGGTGAGTTAACTCATTGCAGTTGAGTTGACATTTACATGTGTGACATCACCTGTGCAGAAAGGTTTAAACCAGTCAGTTCACCTCCAGGCTGTGTGGCCTCACGTAAACCCATTGAAATAATAAACTCCAAAGCAAGTAACATTCTGAATTCACTTATTTTTGAAGTTTGTGGGTTTTTTCCTTGCTAAAACTTAAGATTTAAAAGTGATGTGAAAGAACAAAGGAAACTAAAACAGATACAAAGGAATAACATTATTTATGCGTCAGCTTTCCATGAAAGTCCTTAAAAAATAATCTTATTTTGGTGCATTTTCATTGTAACAGATTATGCGTTCTGCTAGGTACTTTGCTGTTGCTGGTTGGTACAAGCTTGAGAGTATTCAGAGTGCATGGATCAGTAAGGTTGATGAAGTGTCTTGTGGGACAGAGAGACCTCTGTCACAGACTTCCTGTCACTTCCTTGGGCAATAGATTCTTCCAAGGTACTTGCAGCTTGGCCCAAAAGTCAGTATTTATTTCCTCAAGTATCAGTTAAAGGTTAATAAGGTGCAGACGAGCTTCCCATTTCTTAACACACTAATCTGAACACCCTGGATAAGTGCAACTGCTGCTACAACAACATTTAAGTGTCCTCTAAGTTTACTGTTTCAGATAACCACCCGAGACTGCTGGTGGTGTGTGAGCACATACTGTTGTGCTAGTGTCAGCTGTGGCATAGCTGAACGTTTCTCAGTGTCTGGATCATTCAGTGGAAGTTGCCAGGTGTTGGGCTGGAATGTTAATTTCTTCTGAAAAATCTGCCCCTGGCCTTATTTATGCCAGAAAGTCGCTGTGATAACTTCCTTAGTGCTTCATTCTTTAGTTGTACAATGAGATTTTGTCAAGGAAATACCACTCAAACCCTGTGATAACCACAGGGATGGGGTTTTCATGTTTAGCCATAAGCTGATGTAGCAATAACATGATTTCTTTTTCCCTTGTTTAGCCTATCTCCACCCTTTATAGAGCTCAGCACGTGAAGAAGAGTGAGTTTGTTCCCAGAAAGCTAAACTGTGAGAGTGAAGTGAATTTAGCAGCAACAAGAGCCTTGCAGTGTGGGTGTAACACTGCTGCCTGGCCTGGGTTTGCTGCCAGTGTCCTGTCAAGGGCTGGAGGTGAAGGCCCACAGCTGCGGTGTTTCTGATCAATAGACGGGCTCAGGCAGTAACCTGGCAGTTACAACTCGCTGCAGTTTTGTAGTCCATCCAGTACAGTTTTCAGTGCATTTCCTGTATCAGTGGTGCTCTCTGAATTAAAATTGGTGATTGTTAGTCCACGTGCAGTGCTTAGTGGTAAAATATTTGAGTTTCTGTGTTAGTGCTTCATCCTTTCAGCCTAAATCTCCCCGTATTGCAGAAAAGCCGTATGACATGAGGCTTTGCTCAGGGGAGGTGAAGTATTTTGGTTTTTCTATTTAAGGGGTCTTTTCTCAGTTCCCTTTAGAAGTGGTAAAACAAATCTCAATAAAGGAACCATCTATGAGGCCCCAAGAGAAGCAATTTATGCAGAACAGCTATCGCACTGTAAACATACACCACAGCTTATTCTCAGCTGACAAGTGCACTTGGCACATGTAGTCTGCGGATTCAGTTGAAAGAACACAACTGTGTGTGAAAGGGAGCCAATATTTTTAAGTTTACTGTGATATTTCAATAGCTTATCCTACGAAATGTGAAGTGCTTTGCTGTGTGGCAGTGCCACTGAGCAGAGGAATGCAGGATTGGAAAGCACTGTTATTCCTCCCTCATGCGTACAGACAAAAGCAGTGCTAGTACAGATTTTCCAAAGATTCCTTTTTTAGTTGTGTTTAAAATAAATGCAAATCATCTTCGAGGAATCTTAAGCTGTGTGTAAGTTAATAAACCAACACCAAATCTCATTTGACACGGTCCTCTTGGTTGTGACTTTGCAGAAGCCTGTGTGAGTTTTCCTTGCAAATTTATGCTCATCCGTAATGCTTTTCTTCGTTTCCTGTTACAGTAGCCAGGTGAATGTTCTTAAATCTCCTTTCAACTGAAATTCCAGCTCTTAGTTTTCATTGTTAACCTCTTCCAAAGCAAATGAACTGCAGTACGCTTGCCATTCTTAGTGGTTTTATTCTTGTTTTAGAAGAGTTTTTGGAGTTTTCTATAGGATTCTCTCATCTCTCTAACAGAAAATTCATGTATTATCAGCAGGTTTACAATTGTCATTGTTACTCTACAGCTCTTCTGTCAGCAAGTCACAAAGCTCTTGTCAAAACTAGAGAGCAAGGGAGAAATTTGCCACTTTAAATAGGAGAGGTGGGTTCCAGGCTCTTGTTTATCAGGATCATGAGAGATGTTGAAATCTGGAGCATGACATATGTTGATTCACATCATACCTAGTCATGAAATGTAATCCTACCCGCTGTTGCAAGAGGAGGAAGAGGCTGTTTAGTTGCTCAAAGAGTTTGTTGTTCATGTTGGCAAGAAGCTGTCCCAACAAAGTCAAGATTACGCTGAATTTACTTGTGCTGGTCTGTCAGCATGTGCCAAATATGATGCTTCCTTTCAGTTTTCCTCAGGACAGCTTCGTGTTGTCAAGTGGTACCTCA